CTTTTCCACCACCTGAAGAAGTAAATAATGTTTGAATTAGGGGAAGGGGAAATATGCCTGCACTGCAGTCTTCTTCCCAGGTAGAGGCATGATGGAAGAAGAGTTTCATGGATCAAAATCCTGATACACACAGTGATCTGCAGTGAGCTTCCCTCTAAAGAATTATTGTATGAGCACGAGCAGGGCAGGTGGGGGGGGGTATTGTCATGCAGTAGTCTTATGTATGGGCAAGAACATGACGCACAGAAACTAAATTCACTATTGAGACAACTACCTAACTAAGATTTATCTGAATTCATGAACCAACCTGTTTGACATCTCAAATGTTCTGGACACCATCACTTGCTCATTTGTTCTCAGATTTAAAGGTAGAGTCCAGTTGTGTAAGATCTGCAATAACATCATCAAAAAACAGTTTCAATAATTTAAAGGTGGTACCTTGGTGTCTTTGTTTGTTTGATCCTTCCTTGCTCCACTTCATCAGTTGCTAATGTGTTAGCGGAGGATTCTCTTTAACTGGTTTTATTGGTTTCAACAACTATCCTAAACCAGTGGACTGAGGACTCAGAAATGTCCCTATGTCCTACACTTACCTCTAGTCTGTCCATCCCGCTCCATTGGGGCTGAGTTTCCTTCATCAGCCTAGCAACAATCTTCAGTGGGGGGCCAGTAGTCCATAAAAGATGTCAGTACATGTGGGGAGGGGATCTTCTTCCAGCACCCAAGTGCACTGTGTAAGTTGTAGCCTTTGGAAGTGGCATTGCCATCATCACTGCTCAATGAGAGTGAGTGCAGGCAAGTGAGCCTCCTCCAATTCTGGAGGATGGCGGCCCTGACCTTCCCCAGAAAGAAAGATGGGTGCACCTCCACAGCCCTTCGCCAAGCTCACCCACTCTCCAGTCTGCAGGTCCTGTGTAGGACACTCGGCCTTATCTCTACCAAGGCACAGAACACAGATGGCAACTCCTCTCAGGCTTCAGTCCATGTCTCAAGTTCTTCCTCCCCTCCACCTCATATCATAGCCTCTACTCTTTCCTCCCCATCTTCACCTTCATCTTGCCCCAAGTGTTTCTCCTTCCTACTTTCATGCTGGAAGTCCTTTACCTTGCCCTTATCACCCACCATATCTGTAATCAGGACCAATGGATATGCCTCCCTGGAACCTGAAGATGATATGTCAGGAACAGAAAGAGTGTCCCTCTCACAGATGATGAGGAAACATTGGCCATGTCTTACACACATAAATGAAAGAGGACCAAGGTCCTAAAGACTTACATGTTGCTGACGTCTCCTTTTAGGCCCAGAATCTTCTATTTGTCTAATTTGAACGACAACATAATCTTCTGTCCGCCGATTTGTTTCAAAAGGCCCTGCAAGTTCTATCTTTAAGAGGGCTGAATCACCTAAATTGCTGAAGTTCATAGCTGATTGTAAAACAGTTAAGGTCTTATACTTCTCTGTGACCTGACAGTTTTGCAGTAAGAACATAAGAACAATCTGTGCTGTACTGGACCAAAGGCCTGTCTCAAGCACCATTCTATTCACACATAAAGCTACTTTTAGCTGCCCCCCAGCCTAGATCCAATACTAGAAAGATGCTAAATTTGAGGCTGTGTTAAATTAGTAAAATATGGTGAGACAAATGGGAAGAGGGCAGCTTTCACTGTTCTCAACCAAGCCATCCTTTTGACATAAACATTAATCCTCTTCCCGCAGGTTTCTGGGCAAAGGGACAAGCTTGTGTTTACAAAACATGAAAGTAACCACTTTGGCCCAGAAATTGAAGACACCATATGAAAGCCACAGGGGAAAAAACATCTTTGGAGAATAGAGATGGATGGAGACAAGAGATAGCTTCTAGTGGAGGTTCTAACTGAAAATCAACCTGAACTTGGAAAGTAATGTTAAGAAGAATACAATAGCACACTAAAGCTTGAAAGAGAACATGAGCAGAACAACGCCCACTCCTGTTCATATTACCTAGCAACTGGTGGTAATATCTAGCCATCATATCTAGTAGCCTTTGATAACCCCAAAGGATGTAAAGCTATGTTATACAATTTTATCTTCAATGATGCTGGCTGATCCAGAATGTTTTTGCAACATACCAGTCTGTTTATCTAACAATTATGTACATAATGTAATAGGATCAAAAAAAGGCAGCTCTTATTGCAGATAACTAAACTCCAGAATATTCAAGATGACTGTATGAAAGCATTATAGTTATCAAATCTTACTGACCTATTCATGAAGAATCAATGAAAATGGAATAAAAAAGAAGAAGGCATGGAAAAGGTTTTTCTTCCCTAAACTCACCATCTCCTCAGAGGAACCAGTAGCATCAACCTGACTTGGTTTCCAAAGCAGCTCAGAAGGAATGGATTTGCTGCTCCTTCCATTGGCTGAAGGAAGCCAGATGTGCTCACATCCCACAGCCACCGCATTTGGTAACTTCTTCCTTGGTCAAAGCTGTCAAATGCCCATTTCCTTCTATTGCCAATTAGGGTACAGTATGGATTATAGAGAAAGCCAGAGAGTTCCAGAAAAACATCTACTTCTGTTTCATTGACTACGCAAAAGCCTTTGACTGTGTGGACCACAGCAAACTATAGCAAGTCCTTAAAGAAATGGGAGTGCCTGACCACCTTGTCTATCTCCTGAGAAACCTATATGTGGGACAGGAAGCAACAGTTAGAACTGGATATGGAACAACTGATTGGTTCAAAATTGGGGAAAGGAGTACAACAAGGCTGTATATTGTCCCCCGGCTTATTTAACTTATATGCAGAATACATCATGCAGAAGGCTGGACTGGAGGAATCCCAAATCGGAATTAAGATTGCCGGAAGAAATATCAACAACCTCCGATATGCAGATGATACCACTCTGATGGCAGAAAGTGAGGAGGAATTAAAGAACCTTGTAATGAGGGTGAAAGAGGAGAGTGCAAAAAATGGCCTGAAACTCAGCATAAAAAAAACTAAGATCATGGCCACTGGTCCCATCACCTCCTGGGAAATTGAAGGGGAAGATATGGAGGCAGTGACAGATTTTCTGTGTGACAGCCGCAGAAGACAGACAGGAGTAAAACACAACGAAACATGTGAAGTGCTTTGCTGGATTTTGCCACAGCTCTAATTAGCCCAGCATCCTACTTCCCATGGTGAAGTCACCTCTGAGATAGACCATTGCTATCGTTCTCCAACACTTTGCATTTGAAATTATATGGCCTCTGAAGTAAGATGCAGCACCCAGCCGTCATGAGCATTAGCTGCATGGTAGTTTTCAAGTATTTTCTCCAGGAAGATTTGAACTCAAACAAGAAGCTTTTTATAGCCCTTCCTGTCTAAGAAGGCCCAGTGGCCAGACTAGGTGGATATACAGACCCACAGCTGAGAGCCTCAGCACACTTAATCACCGAAAAGGATGTTCCAAGCTACAGTTCTGAGGGGTTGATTCTAGGCCTGCCAAACTCAGAAAAAATGTCATTTTGGTCATATCACAGTACCTTCCTTATGGTGTAATCTCCAGAGTATTCCAGCAAAGCCTGGTACCATTCTCGAAAAAAAATTTTCACAGACCACAAGAAGTCTGTGTTCCCACTACTGATGTGAGCACCATGAATCAGAAACATGTAAAAAAAAACAAAAAACTAACTGTGGTTTTCTGGGAGTTATAGTCGAAAATAAGTAGCTCTTCCCTTTTTTGACCAGAACCAAGTGCAAGGATAGAATGGAAAAGATGCTCACCAAAGGCTGTGTCCAAGGCATGTGTACACAAGGTCATGTGTAAGTTGGCCCTCAGTCAATAAGTTTTTCTTGATTTTGAAGTCACCTGGGTTCTTCTTGGATGTCATTGCCTCACACACTTTACATTATCAGAACTGTACCACTTCCTTTGCCACATAGGTTTTCCAAACAGACAGGTGAGAACAGTAGCTACAACCATTCTTCTTACCTTGTTACTTACCTTATTAAATTGGAACTTCTAGACAAGAAAGATTTTAAAAATAACTGTTATAGGGAAGTCAGTAAAAGGTAAAGGTAAAGGTTCCCCTTGACAATTTTTGTCCAGTCGCGTTTGACTCTAGGGGGCAGGGCTTATCCCCATTTCCAAGCCATAGAGCCAGCATTTGTCCGAAGACAATCTTCCGTGGTCACATGGCCAGTGCGACTTAGACACGGAACGCTGTTACCTTCCCACCGAAGTGGTCCCTATTTATCTACAGTACTTGCATTTGCATGCTTTCAAACCGCTAGCTTGGCGGGAGCTGGGACAAGCGACGGGAGCTCACTCCATCGCGTGGATTCGATCTTACGACTGCTTGGTCTTCTGACCCTGCTGCACAGGCTTCTGCGGTTTAGCCCACATAATCACCGCTGCAAGGTCAGGGAAGTCAGTACTAGAAGTTTAAATATTGCATATTCTTGGAAGGGTGGAAATGAGTTCTAACATGTTCAGAGCTAGATGAACTGGGCATGATGTACTTCAGATACCGTCTCAGTTTCCAAATGCATTTCAAAAGATTTGCTGACCTTTATTAATTAACCTAATGGCCTAGGATATGTTTTGCAAACTTGTAGCCAATCTTTTAAGTTATAGCTTCTGCAAAAAGCTTCAGGTGCACGTAATTACAGCTGCTTCTTTTCTCACCATATGACTAAAATACACCCTGTAATTACACAAACAGCACATTCAGAAGCTATTACAAAAGAAACTTAAAATTACAGGAGAGAACAATGTACTTCATTTTCGCACTATCGTACACATTCTGAACAAAATGGCCAATATCTGTTTAGCTGGAGGCTTCTACCTTGCTTTGCGCGTAAAATGAGTCATCCTGTGCCAGCCTAATTTGAAACACTTAACCAACAGGCATATTGGTTATGCGTGTCAGTTCAGGCAATAGCCGCAGCATGGCTTACAAAGCAGTCCTACATGTCTTCCTTTGATTTTAAAGCCAATGGGCAACTGTTGGTTTTAGTAGAATGAAAAATAGGTTAAAATATAACTGCTCCAGGTTGTTATAAATTGAGGAGAAAAATATGAGACTGCAAACTCAGTCTACGTTGTCTGATGAAGTAAATGTCATGGCCTTAGGTCCTACCACCACCATATCTCTGTTATTCATTCTCTCTATTTTCTTGCCTCTATTCTCCATATCCTTCATATGTTTTCCCTTCACATCTGAATTCCGTCCCCTTTTGCCATCCCTATTCACTTTCTCCATGTCTTCAGTTAACAGAAACATTACTTTTCCCATTTTGCTATGATCTATTCTATTTGTCTTGCTGTTTTCAGCCTCTGAAGGAATCCACTTATCATATGAATATGCTTATACAGCTATTTCATTTATCTATGTAATTTTTTTTTTAAAGATTCCAGCTTAAGATACCAGTTAAAGCAATCTCTTGATGTCTCAAATCTCCAGTTACACAGAGAAAGTGATGCAACATTAGTTTATAAATCTGTAGGATCAATCAAACTGAACAGATAGGTCATAGTAGGGCAGAGTGTCTCCCTGCACCCTTGCATTTAGTGTAATCCCACTGAACACCTAAAAACTCCATTGATTTACAAATTGTGCAAAAAGGGATATATCTATAATAAATAGTGTGACAGATGACTGCAGTGGAGCTCACACGCACCCCACATCCTAAATTAATGTATTATTTCATATACAGAGACAGTCTCATTGTGGTGTACTGGCATGTACTACATGTGCTGGTTATGCTAACATACTTCAATGCAGCTTTGGCCTCCTGCAGAAAATTCTTTGTAGACGCTACGTTATATACGTAAATTCTGTTTGGGGCTTCATTTGAAAAAGGTCAGGATCAGAGAACAGCTGAAGTCCAAAGTTAATTTTTTCATTTATCTATGTAATTGTTTTTTTAAAGATTCCAGCTTAAGATACCAGTTAAAGCAATCTCTTGATGTCTCAAATCTCCAGTTACACAGATAAAGTGATGCAACATTAGTTTATAAATCTATAGGATCAATCAAACTGAATAGATAGGTCATAGTAGGGCAGTGTCTCCCTGCACCCTTGCATTTAGTGTAATCCCACTGAACACCTAAAAACTCCATTGATTTACAAATTGTGCAAAAAGGGATATATCTATAATAAATAGTGTGTACATACAGATGACTGCAGCGGAGCTCACATGCACCCCACATCCTAAATTAATGTATTATTTCATATACAGAGACAGTCTCATTGTGGTGTACTGGCATGTACTACATGTGCTGGTTATGCTAACATACTTCAATGCAGCTTTGGCCTCCTGCAGAAAATTCTTTGTAGACACTACATTATATACGTAAATTCTGTTTGGAGCTTCATTTGATAAAGGTCGGGATCAGAGAACAGCTGAAGTCCAAAGTTAATTTTTGACTCAGGCTTCCCGAAGCTTCTCCTTGCTCCCTAGGTTAAGCTCTGCTGCTTCCCCATGCAACCCACTTAGCAGGTCTTGACTTCCTGATTAGAGAAGAGAATGCTCCTTACCTCTAACTTATTGATTTCCACAATAAATGTTCTGTTTGTATGGTGAATGATCTGGTAATGGGAAACGAACTGTTCTTGATGTAAGCAGGGGAAAGCAACACCATTATTGTGCAAGAGCCTCATTTTTAAGAAAAATCAAGAGAGTGAGATGGCATTTAGCTTAATTGTTTCATATCTTATTAAAAACTAAGAATACTTATTATCATCTCTTTTGGGGACGTGGTGGTGCTGCGGGTTAAGTCGCAGAAGCCTCTGTGCTGCAAGGTCAGAAGACCAAGCAGTTGTAAGATCGAATCCATGCAACAGAGTAAGCCCCAGTCGCTTGTCCCAGCTCCTGCCAACCTAGCCATTCAAAAGCATGTAAATGCGAGTAGATTAATAGGTACCACCTCGGTGGGAAGGTAACAGCGTTCCGTATCTAGTCGCGCTGGCCACATGACCACGGAAACTGTCTACAGACAAAACGCTGGCTCTATGGCTTGGAAACAGGGATGAGCACCGTGCCCTAGCGTCAGACACGACTGGACTAAATGTCAAGGGGAACCTTTACCTTTTGAGATAGTCTTTTTCTAATATGGAAGTTTGATTTGTTCCAGGCCTCTGTCCTCCTTCTGCCTGTATTAAATATTATAATGTTGCACAGAGTATAAGTTATTAGGGATACAGCATGAAGGAAAGTGCAATCATGAACAACAAAGTAGAACAAGTAATAAAGAATATCCCAGTGAAACTAAATATTAGTTTTATTATGATAGAAAGCACATCGTGTGGCATGATGTGCTTTCTGTCAGCATGTGGCATCTCACTCTAAATTGAAAGTTGGGATTTTCAAAGTATCAATTTTTTAGGAACAGCTTCTTACAAGAGCTGAAACTTACTGAGGCCTGTCCATCACAAAATGGTAGTCAAGAAGGACATCCCATCACAAACCAGCCACAGACAGAGGAAAGGTTTGACACTGTCACCTGGCAATTATGGATATAATTTTACTGATTGATTGATTGATTGATTGATTGATTGATTGATTGATTGATTGATTGATTGATTGATTGATTGATTGATTGATCACCTTTTTCTACAAAGGATCCAAGGCAGCTACAATTTTTTTTAAAGAAAGTATTGGTTAGCTATGTGCTGTACATTTAAAGTAAGTGCAGGATCAAATTGGTTTGAGCATTTCAGAAATCTTAATCCAAAACTTTTGATACTCTGGCAGTGATTTTAAATTTACCAGCCTTGAAATCATTCAGGGTGATCATTTGACAACATTCTCATAACTCTAAGGCAGTGGTTCCCAACCTTTTTCAAGTTCTGACCCCATTTATAAAAGTCACGTAACCTGTGACTCCTCTGACTTTTGCATTAAAAGGCATATTAATGGGGTAAAGTCATCTTTTATCAGAAAGCAGAGACTTCTTTCTTTCTTCAAGCGCTTGTTTCTCTTACATACACATGCACACCAACTTTAACATCCCATTTTGAAAGGTCATGGAAGAAATGATTTAACAAGAGCTACAACACATAGCCAGAAAGCCAGAGAGTTCCAGAAAAACATCTATTTCTGCTTCATTGACTATGCAAAAGCTTTTGACTGTGTGGACCACAAGAAACTATGGCAAGTTCTTAAAGAAATGGGAGTGCCTGACCACCTTATCTATCTCTTAAGAAATCTATATGTGGGACAGGAAGCAACAGTTAGAACT